AATATGTGGTGGTTTTATGGGTGATATATAATCGGCTGAGCGAAAACTGAGAATGTTTCGTTATTTTGTAGGCGTCATGGCAGCAACTTGATCTTTAAAGTTATTTTGATATTTCCTCCTTTCTTACCCGAAAATTGACCGCTATTTCTTTGTGCCGTAATCTCTTATTTCCGGTCCCTTTATTTTTTCTTTCCTCACTTCATAATAAATCTTTGTCATTTCTTGCACTTTCCACCATCATTTTATCTCAGTTTAGCACATTTTCTGACTAATGATCAAGCCATACCGTTTCTTGAATTTACCCTTTTGTGTTTTTACAATCGTCTTATATTCATTTTTTTCCCTTCCGCATTTGACCTTTACCTATTTCATTCAGTATGGCAGAGAGTAAAAAAAGAAATAGAACACAACTACAGGAAAGAGATATTACAGACTACCATTTTCGAAAAGGTAGTATTAGTGAAAGATAAATATATAGAAAAACCTAGATAGGTTCATGGAGAGAGAGATATACTGAAAGAATTCGACGAACATAGACCCACTCACGTAGATAAGCAGAATATGAATTATTACCACAGTCACAGCGTTGCACATAGATATCAATATACATATATAAATACGTACATACATACATACATACATACAGAGATATCGACAAACTTACATATAAATACGCATAGTGAAGAAAAACGTAGATACTTATATAGATACACACAGACCTATGTAGATAGAAACACGGACGAATAGATACACACACACACACACACACACACATATATATATATATATATATATATATATATATATATATATATATATATATATAATAGTGAGAATATATAAATACACTAGCAGCATGGCCCTGCGATGCCAGTGCTTGATTCAAAAATCGTACGACTCCTACAGCAATCGCTATGACTTGACTTAAAATATTTTTTGCCCTTCCTTGCCTTTTTTTAAAGGAGTGCCCTTTGCCGTGCTGATGTTGCTACATGCCTTACTTCTTGCCTATCTCACACTGCGAATTTTTTCTAAGCTCTATACTAAGCATTAAATCTGTTACGAATAAAGAACTAAACAAAATGAACACAAAACGATCAGCTTTAAAAAAGGACTCGTAAAAGAAAAAAAACGAATGAAAAAAGAATGTTAACAACAAATACTTTTAAACACCCAACTCAGTACTGCGGAATCGGAATCAACGTTGAGTTTAAGCAAGCGAATGAGCCAATTAGCGTAAAGTGCCATGCAGATTTAAATTTTTCCAACTTGTGACGAATGCAGCTATCGACTTTTTTTGCATACTAGCATGCGATTTAACATTCGTGTCAGTCAGCTGTTGGCTCTCACGCTGGCCAGTAGAATCTTCCTGCCTATTCGTGAAAGCCAGCTAAAGGCTCTCACTCTGGCCAGTAGAAAATGGCCGCAAACTACATGAAAACTGCCGTAGAAGCATGAAAAAAATCGATTATTTCCACCTTCGATGGGAGTTGGGAAAATGCAAAGTCGGTCTTGGACTTTCCGCTAACATGTAAATTTTGGTGCAAATCCGTCGAAAATTGCGGCCGTGCATTCGTCACACACACACACACACACACACACACACACACACACACATCCTGCATTTTATAGATAGAGATAGGCAAACTTCGTATGTTACATTGGAAATATCGACAGTTACAAATAGATTTAGAATCAGATAAAGAATTCAAAAATATGGACACTTCATTCATTCGTGGGATGAAATCTGAGAAGCCTCAGCGTAAGTCAATGCGGTAAGATTATATTCTGGGGGATTTACTAGTTTTTTTCCATTGGAAATAAATTGACTATCGTCTAATTCATAAATTAGACTGAGTTTTGGAATGGTTACATGTATATTTAATATATCGTACTACGGTAGAAATAATCAGTGTAATTCAATGGAAAAACCCCGATTTTAATTTTGACATATTCTGGAAAGTTGAATGTAATTTTTTCGCTGCAAATGTGATGTACCTTCTTGCAATTTCAGTACACGTGAAAAAGTATATGTAGTCAGCGTTTGAGTAACATTTGTTATATCTGATTTGATATGTTGATTTCGTAGTTACATTGTCAGGTTTTCTCGTTAAAAAACAAAACGTTTTAAAAAATAAAGTCATATAGAGTACAATTCATTACAACCGCCTTCATATGTTTGGTGAGCATAGAAAAAGTAAGTTTACATATTAAACATATGTTTGAAATGGTAGCATCGGAATATCATGAAATGAAGATCGCAACTCGTAGTATCGAATGATTTTCATATGAAAATAGTGAGATGATTAGGTTGTATGACAACTCAACACCGCCGACTGAGAGCCGAGACAACTCGGGACTGAGACAACTCAGCACCAGAATAACTTTTTTTTTCAAAACGAATAACAGTAATTTATTAAGGATTAATACCTCAATTATTAAATATTTTTCTTCAAATAAGGCATTTAAAAGACTTTATGTAAAATATGAACCAGATTTTCGTTTTTATTTATTTTAATAAAGTAAATCTTAATGTAAATTATTGTTAATAAAGTAAATAATTCCAATAATTCATCATTAAATATTATAATACTTTTTATAATAATATTCTAGAATTTCGATTTACTTTATTAGAAATTACTGTTATATAGGAATAAAGAGTCACTGCCAACACTTGAGTTTGAAAATAGATCGCCACTGAGCAAAAACAGGCGATACCATTATTAAATTACGTAGACCTCATAACCATAGAGGAAGGGCATAAGTAGAAAGTTGCATGATGTCTAATTGATCTACATTTCTATTCTATCCGCTATTACTTTTCGGATCGCTATTTCTACTCTATTACTATACGGGCCGCTATTCCTTATACTGTTTCTCTATTCAGTTCACTATACGGATTACTATTCAAGCGAGTATTATCGAGCAACTATTATTAGTGCGAGTGATATTTGACGGCGTCTGACACCAGCTGTGTTCAACAGCGTACTTTAGTTGTATCTGCGATTACAAAGTCTCTACTACAACGAGCATAACAAAAGTGACAACGACTATTTGTTGGCATTACAAAAGTGGCAACGAGTGTTCGTTGACACCACAAAACTTACATTACGATTCACTTTATTAAAAAAATAAAAAAACAAGTTGTCTTTTATTGACTTATTTTTTATATGTCAATTTACTTTATTAAAAAATAAAATTCTTTACGATTTACTTTAATAATCAAAACATAAAACCGATTCCTATTTTACATAATTCCTTTTCACTAATTAGGGTTTTAATTCTTAATGAATTACTTCAGTTAGAAAATTACCTTATGCTGAGTTGTCTCGGTCCTGAGTTGTCTCGGTCCTGAGTTGTCGCAGCACTCGGTCGGCCCTGATTATTATTCCCATGAGTATTATTCTCAAATATTATATATAATATTAAACATGAAATGCGTCCATCTAATAAAAATGTAGTGTTTAGGAATGTAATGTAATATTAGATCAATATTAATTGTTTTGAAAATTTTAAACTTGCTGTTTGCTTGCTTACCAGTGCGAATCATAAGAACACAGGCATTTTTCTTTAAAAAAATTAATTGTACTCGTCATTACTTTGATATATTTTAGTACAACGGTGCAGAAAAAATACTACAATAAGACATTAATTTCTCATAAGGCAGACTGAAGATGAATACTCCTTGATTCATGTGAATTATTTTTATTCAGTCATTCTTTCAAATTTAATATCGACCTGGATTTTGAATTAAATTATTATTCAATGATTTCTGAAAAGGTATAGGCGCATCATTTCTAACTATCAAGTGTAAACATATTTATTTGAAATTACCAGTTTTCCTATTGTCATTTTTATTCATATATATTTATTTGTTTTAGATTGAACAAGATGTAAACAGCATGCTTTTAACCAACGTTTACAGTAATATAGCATTGGATTTATGAAAATATATTCGAGCAAATTTGCATTCTTATTTCCTGTTCATTAATTTTGCAAAGATATATTCAGTCCATCTCCAATTTTATTTCTAACACGTCCTCGGTTACACCATGCTACATCCATAATGGCGAATAAACATCATTTCTTTCACTTTCTTATTTTAAGGAGGAGGTTCTGCACAGCCTTTTTTCCAAATGAGATAACTCTCTTGCGCGTGTCCTTGGAAACTTCAACCATGACCTGTTCATGTGTTAATCATTATCTTTTTATCTTATACTTATAATCTTCAATTTTTACCAAATTCTGTTCCATTCATTTCCCACACCTCATTCAACCTCTGAGGCCCTGGAGGTCAACGAGGTCGCTTCTCGAACCAAACATACTTCGGATTTACATAGATGATCTGTCTAAGAATATACTCAGTTCATTTGTAAACGTCTATGCTGATGATACGATATACGGATGCACATCTAAAGCTCTTGACGATCAGAGATTAGTAGCTAACGCTAACTTTCCATTGGAGGGAAAAACCGACTAATTACACCCAATGCCTCGACAACCAAGCTAATTGCAATTCGCGAAAATTATTAGTCTTACTGGTGAGAAAACCAAATAATTGGAATGGATTTGTTTGCTTTAGAATGTGCATAAGCAATTTCTACTAAATATCTGCGTGTATATAAGAATAAATTAAATAATATGTTTAAAGAACGGGGTACATTTTGGCCTTAGTTCAGGACGTTGACGATCATGGCTATCCGCAATTTTATGGCCTTTGTAACTCTTAGTAAATGTTGCATTTTATCTTTCCTAAACCCTGTTCTGCCATCCATTAGCTCGAGCTCACTACATATGTTAAGCGTTGTTTTCCTTAGACCTTCAATTTGTCTTGTTAGTATAACATTTTTCAAACCCAATTTGTTCATTATGTGCCATAGAAAGTTCAGTCGTGTCTTCCTGATGTTGAGAATATTTTTTTGCTTCCATTGAAGAAATTTTAAGCTGACACTAAAATTCGCTTCCTTTCAATAAACCAAGTATATAGATTAAATACTTATATGCTATACTGGTATGACTACGAAGAACGTAACATTTGCACGCGCAAATTAGATATATCTATCTATCTATCTCTGTCTCTTCCTAGCTCTATTTGTCTATATCTATCTACCTTTAACTACCTGTCTATATATCTAGCGCTCTCTCTCTCTCATATATATATATATATATATATATATATATATATATATATATTTGGTTGGATAGATGTGAGTTTGTGACCTTGGGTTTCACGCTTTAGCGATCGTCAGACAAACTTTCTAATAAGTACCGCACATATAATATATAAATAGTTATACATATATATATATTTATTTATATACACTTTTCACACACACACACACACACACACACACACATATATATATATATATATATATATATATATATATATATATATATTTCTATCTATCTATTGCTAACCATCTCTATCACTATTTCTAACTATCTATCGCTATCTATCTATAAATAACTATCAGTATCTCTAAATATATAAATATTCCTCTGTATTTATCTTTATCTAACTCTAGCTATATCTATCTATACTAATCATCTTTAACTATTTATCAATCATTAATTACAAATCTCCACTTCAGAAGACATCTATGTGCCCTGTCCCTTCTGGGTGTTGACGATCATTGCTCTCCACAATTTCCTGTCTTTTGTAGCTGCTAATATTTTTTTTGTTATCTCTCCTAAACTTTGTTCAGTCATACATTTACTCAAGCTGGCCCGGTAGATTGTGTTGATTTCTTCTCCACCTCTGGCCTTCATTTTATTTTGTGCGAATATTTTCAAGCTCACTTTTTTAATTATGTGCCATAGTAATTTCTACTGTCTCTTCCTGGTGTTAAGTATAAGTGTCATTTTTGCTTCCATTTTCTCCACAATTTCTTTGTTGCTCACATGTTTAGGACCATGATGTTCTCAGCGTCCTTCTGTAGAACATTTCTGTTGCTTCACGTCTCCTCATTGTCCAGCATTTGAAAATTTCTTTTGACATTCCCACTCCAGTGGGCAGTTACATTTGTTACGAAAAAAGAAAAAGTAATTCAAAATTATTTAAAAAAACAAAAAAAACAAACTGTTTTCAATGATCCTAATTATCGGTCGATTGTTTGTTCTTTCACTATAACTAGTTGATTGAAAGAATCTGGTGTTGCTATCTCTTCACATCAATCATGGTCATATGAAATATTTCGTGATATGGACAAAAAGTATTCAATATGTGCAGGATACATTTCCCAGGAAAAGTGAAGCAAAGATAAATAAAAGCATATTTGTTGGTCATTTTCGTTTGGATGAACATTTTGACAGTGTAATATGAGGAAAGGAGAAAAAACTCCATGGATAGCTTTCAAGACAGCAAAGTAATGGGTAATGAAAAAGAAAAACAGTTGAAAACCTGATGTCATATAAGTATCTTCGCTGTAATATGTCGTAGAAAATATACTTCTTAGACTCGCATCTTAATTATCTCCCCCTGAAACTGTGGTGTTGTGAATGATTAGCAAGATGAACAATGTTATCAGGATATTGCAATCAATAGAAAAAGGTATCAAGGGTGAAGTCCGCCAATACTTGTTAATTATTGTTGGACTGTGACCAGTGATAGTCCTCCTGCAATTTACGAAAGACAAACTAAAAAGCGACATGTGGTTGATGAATAACTGCGCAGGATTATACTCCTGGAGACTTTTCGGTTGTATTTTATTCAATAATAATTTCTATTGCTATTTTGATGTTTGTTTATTGTCCTGACAGTCTACATAGAACAGAACATCAAAGAAAATTTTACAAACAATGGATTTGCTTGCAGACATCCATTGTAATCTTGTATATGAGATACTTAACTACATATTTCTAAATTAAGAGCTATTAATCTAATTCAAAGAGCATTTTCATATCCACTATACAAAAATGCATAAGAATTGGTGCATTTCGTTTCTGAAGTATTCAACATGTGAAAAAATTTTAGGTCAGTGTAATTAACGAATTATTCCGACGTGTGTGTGTGTGCATATAATATATATATATATATATATATATAATTACGAGAGAAAGTGAAGCTTAATTCGTAGTAGTAGAGGAAAAATAGCTGAGGAGGTAAAATAAATGGAATGAGGGATTGGAGTAAAAAAAAAACAACGAATAGTCACAAAAGAGAAAATACATCAGAAGGCAAGAAAAGAAAAGATGGTGAGAAACCTGACCGCGAGCAAATAGAAGGGAACACTGATAGGAGTAGTAGCACACAATGATAATTACGTGTTTTTTTTTTTTTTTTTTTTTGTTGTTGTGTGAGACCTTAATTTGACGTATCTTATTTGCATCTCGAATAAGATAAACAAACTTTAATTTTGTTTTCATACTGCCATTTGTTCAGCTGCCAGGCTTCCGATTCTATGTACAGCTATCCGTCACCCAGAATAAACACTAGCTATAAAATCTAATAAGAGGAAAATTCTTAAATTTTTTTTTTTTTCATAATTAATGAAATAAAATCTTGAGGACAAAAATATTGACTTCTACATCAATAGAAAGTCTGATAATTTCACTATAAAAAACAAAACTGACGTCTAATCTCGAAAATGGCATTCAGTTGTTAAGTGAGATAACAAATTTGAATTGCTAGTTTAACGCCTTCAAAACGAGACTACCCTCTGTTTATCGTCTTAGAAAACCTTTTCTTTCTTTTTTTTTCTTTGCTTCATAAGCATGGCTTTTGGTAACCTCCAGTAGAGCAAATCCTTGCACTTACTGTCTCTTTCTTCATTGACATTATCTAGAACGATTATATTGAATCAATTGCTAAGCTTATTGATAGGGAAATCGGTTCACTCTCAAAGAAATTTTCCCGACAGAATCTGTCGAGTATTGCTGCCATATCTTGTGTAGTACTCTGCTATATACCTAGAGATTATTTAAAAAAAAATTTAAAAACATACCTGCTAGGTTATCTGTCCTGACCTGGCATGTATTCTTCAGTCATCTTTCCACGGCTTTGCCTGTGCTTTTGCTATAATTACTTTCTAAGTAATTGTTATAATGGGCTTTCCTATTTGGTATCGCGGCGTCATGTGTTAAAGCGCAGTACTCTATTGGCAGTTATGTCTCATAATTTAAGCTTTAAAATAACTACGTGTGACAACAAGTTACATGCAAATATATTCTTCTCCAGATCTTTCAATTACGTTATTCACAAATTTGAAGGCAATGTATTTCTTTATCTGTCTCCATTTAATCCGTTTCTCTCTCGATAATTATTGGCATCATAATGGCTGTTATCGCTTTACTTGCAGTGAGAATTTTAAGAAAAATGTAAAATAAATATGAAATAAATTATTTTTGCTGCATATACATTTGCCAGTATATAGAGTAGGCTTTCGAATTGTTTTTATTGGTTTTACTGTTCAGTGCATGATTCAACTGTGAAAGTTAAATTAGGAATTTTACCAATTGTGAAAAATGGCATTAACTCTATCTGAAGCGATTTGGCGCAGAACCATCACATGCGTAGAATGCATGAAATACGTTAGCTATCCTCTTCGTTAATGACCAGCTCTTTTGAACGTAACCAGGTTTGTTAAGTGATAAATGATTATTGCGTTTCATAATCTTTAAATAGGTCACCGTAATCCATATTTTCGTTTTGTTTTTCTGGGCAGATGTTATGTTCTATGTAGAAGATTTATACAGGCGCATTAGAAAGGTCCGAGAACACGTTAGCTAAAGAGTATAAATCAAAGTAAAAATTACGAAGCTGTTATTTCAGATAATTTCTAATTTTTTAATATGTTGATGGTCCTGCGTGCAGGGTATATTTTTTTTAACTTTTCTCAGAACCGATTGCTGATATTTAGGCCTGATGTTTTTTTTTTCTCGAATGTCTACCCATGTCGGTGACAGAAGGAATTTGCTGCATCACAGATAGATGATAAAGAAGAACATTCTTTTTTCATTTCGAAGAGAGTTGTTACGGTTTTTGGGGTATATACCGTATATAACTAGTATATTTATTCTGATTGGCTACAGAATTGTGGCACAAGGCCGAAAAGGGGAGGGGTATAGGCTGGTCGTCACTAACTATCTTATACCTAGCTAATCTGATTCACGACCCATTCATACATTACAATTTGCTCATTCACCACAAGAACTCATCCATCACCGTTCAATCCTCCAATCACCATAATACCACATCCACTCCAGGGGAACTTACAAAAACGCGCCCCAATCCATAAAAAATTGATGATACATAAATGATATGCATAAAATCCTAATAATGATAGAATGCAAGGGGAGGGAGAGGAACCCAATAATAACTAAAAATAAACACAAAATGCAAACTAAACATAACATATGTTAGTAGGGACCGTCCAACCCTCAAAACAGAGAGGCCGCTGTATTCTGCCCAGGGAACAAAATCAAGAAGCGCTCTCGCTAAGGGAGTGGGAAAAAGGATAAAATATTATACGGGCCTGGGAAAATGTAAAGCTGACCCAGTCGAGATGAAAAGGGGACCAAAACACACTGGGGAGGTTGGGAATCTCAACTTGGATCATAACCAAAGAGTAGCCGGGATACAGGCCATGAACAACACTTACTCACATTAACTAGGTACACTGAAGCTTGTCTAACCTAACCAAGGGCAGGGTTCCACAGGAAGCCACCCCGATGTGCCATAGGTTGACCTAGAAAAGAAAATCAAGGCTAGCCCCGGTCACACGAACCAAGCTCGCCACTTTTACCCACCTTTCGCTAAAGACTGTCGAATGCAATCGTTTTCTATCAGATCTAATCTTCATCTTGAGCTGATGCTCAAAGAATTGGATTAGATGCTGATAAGACGGTTGCCCCGCAAGACTTCCTCCATGCGCATCGTCCAAATCACCATTCGAGCCGTGGCCTTCAGCATCAGGAACACCATTCGTTTCTCCCCGGAATACGGGGGCGACACATTGTCACACGCGTATGCGCGATCAATGGACACGAGCTGTTCGGGAGCGAGACGAGCCGTCAGCTCGCCGACATGGTCCCATAAGGGGTGGACCCGGGGACAATTGTAGAAGGCGTGCGAAGCCCTTTCTTCTAAACCAAAACCACACCGTTCACAGTCTGGCAAATCCGCGAAACCCCATATGAAAGCCTTGTCATTGAGAGGCATCCGATTCCGAGCCAATTGCCAGGTAAGCGAAAACTCGGGGTTACTGAGGTAATTCGCCGCTGGCGCCCAAGATCAATAGGAGCGATACTCCTCCTCCGACAAGCCGAGCGTATCTAGTAGAGAATCCTTCGCGCGACCCTCCACTAACCCACGATAGAAGACCTTCCTAGGCAGAGAAAGGTCACTGGACCGGGGAATGGCCTTCAAGGCCAACCGACACTCGCGAAGGAAATCCGATTCATCCCGGGGTTTACAACGGCGCTCAACCCGCGAGATGGGGGTACTGATAGTAAGGCTAGGGAAGGTGTCCCTAACAATCCCCTCCAGAATCGGATCTCCTCTAGTCAATGCGCGGCGTAGGAAAGCCAACCTAGAGGCACGGATGTGACTCAGAAGGTGCGGCATTCCCAGCCCCCCATGACACGGACGTTTGATGCAGACTCGTCTGTCGACCCTGTTCACGCCTCCCCTCCATAAAATGGAGGGTAGCGATCGCTCGAGCGCCTTCCTCCGGTCTTTACAGAAAGGAAGTACGGACAATCGATAAAGAATCAGGGGGGAAATGTATGTAACACACACCTCCGCCCTGCCCTTCACGGACAACCGCCGTCAATTCCAAGTCTGACCGGCAGAATCGACCTTTGCACGTACTTCAGACCAATTCTTCTCCAGCTGGAGGTCAGGCCCAAACCACACTCCAAGAATGCGGACAGGACCGTCCATCCAACCGAAGCGGCCCGGAAGAGCGACCCCCTTCCAGGCACCTAACCGCAAGCCGGACGACTTGTCGCGGTTTATCTTGTCCTCTGTCACATTCTCGTACAGATCAAGCGCCTTCTGTACCGCCTCAATGTCGCTGCGGGACGACACGAAAGCAGATACGTCATCGGCGTACGCGGAAACCCTGGCTCAAGACCCTCCAGGCACGGCAATTCCACGTTGGGCCGGACTGCTGGTCTCGTCCTTCAGCCGGCGAAGGAGAGGCTCCAACGCCAAAACATAAAGGAGAGGCGACAGCGGACAACCCTGACGAACCGACCTAGACAGCACGAACGCGTCCGACAACCTTCCGTTCACCTGTACCACAGCACTGGGGGAGCGATACAGGAGGCTAATCCAGCGGCAGAAGTTGGGTGCGAATCCAGCGGCCTGCAGGACAGTAGCAAGGTAGCGATGGTCAACCCTATCAAATGACTTGGACTGATCCAAATTGATCAGCGCGGCTTCTTCGTCGTCTTTTACACCCTCTATGATCGTGCGGATCAGATGCAGGTTGCTCTGAATTGTTCGGCACCTCACAGAACAAGTCTGCTCAGGTCCCAACAGAGACTCGGCAACTGACTGCAAACGCTCCTGCAGGATCTTGGCCATAATCTTTAACTCTGTGTTTAGCAGAGTTATGGGCCTGTAATCATCTAGGTTCCCCCCACCACCTTTGCCCTTTTTCAACAGAGTGATCACGCCCCTGGTGATCCGATTGGGGATGGACCCCGACCGAAACCAGTTGTTGAACACTGCTGTTAAAATCGGAACAAAGATGTGCGACAGCCTCAAGTACAATTCATAGGGCAAACCATCAAGACCGGGCGACTTGCCTCTGCCGACCTTCTTCAAAACCACGTAAACTTCGCCCTCCGTGATCTCTCCCTCGCAGCTAGCCGCTTCAGTCGGCGAAAGCCGAGGAAAGTCAGCCAAATAGCTGCGAAACTCCTCCTCACGGAGACCAGGCTCCTTGGTAAACCGGCTCTCGAAATGGCGCCGAAATGCCTCGCACATGTCGTCAGTGGCCCGAAGAGTATGCCCCTCCGGGGACTTGACTTCACGAATGAAACGATCGCCACCTCGGACCTCTTCCCTGCGCAGATCTACGCCCAAGTTCACGGCTTCAGAAGACATCTTGCTTAACTTATGTCTAATTACCTGGCCCATGTACCGCTCGCTATTCAAATGATCCAGGGCCGCCCTAGCTATCTCTAGGGGATCCCCCCAAGTCACCGCCCGGGTGTAACTAGCTTTAAGTGTCTTCACCTTTTCAGCTCTATCTAGAGCGAGCCGTTTGCTGAAATCAGTGGTGAAAGACCTAATCCTAGACTTAAGGCGTTCCCACCACTTATTCCCGATAACCGCCCCCACTAGCTCCCGCTGCACTAATCTAGTTAGCTGTTCCTGGAAGTCCTGCCTGCCCAGTAAAGACAGATTGAACTTCCAGTACCCAGCCATTCTAGGCCTATTGTCTAACGCCAACCGGGCACAAACAAGTTTGTGGCCCGCGTAGCCTACCCAGTGGAACGTAGGGCAATCTAGCAGATCTATGTCGGCTCTTCTAACTAATATTCTGTCAAGGTAGCTAACCACCTTTTCAGAAGGCCAACTAAGAGCCCACGTCCACATGTTTCCCCCGGGATGATCGACCCGGTATCTATCGACGAGACCATAATCGTCGATCAGATCAACCAGGCTACGATCGTCCCTTCTCCCACTAGCACCCCGCCCCCCTGTTCTAAGTCGGGGTCCAGAATGGCATTCCAGTCCCCCATTAAAACTAGGCGCGTTGAATCAACAAGGAACGGCCCCAACCGCCGAAAAAACGAGACCCGCTCCTTCTGGTCATTGGGCGCATAAACCGCATTGACTCGGAACGAACCACTTTTCACGGCAATATCGACCACGATCAACCGGCCCTCGGCATCGTTATGCACAAGGTCCACCTTCGCATCAAGAGTCCGTCTGACAAGCAAAGAAACTCCTCTGGCAAACCGGTCCCCAAATGCTGAATAGACAACAAAGTCATCGTCCAACACACGCATCGGCACTGCAAACAAAGTGGGTCTCTTCGATCGCGACAACATCCACATCCAGGGACAGAAGGTCCCGGAGCAGGCGGGCAGCCTTACCCCGATCACTTAAGCCCTCACATTCAACGTAGCTATCTTAATTGACATCTTCTAGGCCTGCAAAGAGAAAAAGAGTAAGAGCAAAAACCTACTCACATACGGGGCGGAAATCTGCAGCTGACAGGACCCCGACAGGATGTCCCAGGCTACCAGTGCCTAACTCTGTCGACATTCGACCATCTGGGACTATTCCGCCAACGTCCATGGGGAAGGTTAATTTCGCAGCCCTATATACAGAGGGGTGGAGTATAACGGGGACCCTCCCTGCACAGAAGTGCGATAATTTTTAAAGATCTGGTGTGCCTGTCTCCAGGATCTTGATGTTCGGGAATGCCTCTATGCACTCTTCCAAGAAATACCACACCTTCAAGTTCCCCCCGCCGTGTCCCTAACACAAGTAGTGACACCCGGGGCCTTGGGGAAATTGCGGGGATCTTCAGTGGTTTTGCCATCCACAGTTGTACATTTGAAGAGCGGACCTAGTCGCGCTCTTCTGTGTGATGACATGTCTCTCTCCAACTCCTTCCTGTCCACCCTACAAATTAGGTCCGGACCAGGAAAGCACTTCTTCTTTCTTTTTCTCTTATCTGGGAGAGGGGAGGAAGGTGAAGGTGGCAGTGGGGTGGAAGTACCAGGCGGGGTAGCTACAGAAGCTAAGGAGGAGGTTGTTGCTTTAGTGTCTCTTCCTCCTTCTTGTTGGAGTCATTTCTTCCACCTCCATCTGCTGCTGCTCCTGCTGTTGAGGTTGCTGCTGTTCTGGCTGCGTCTGCTGATGTTGCTGTTGCTGCAGCTCCTTTCTCTTTTCCTGTTGTCGGCTCTTTTTGCTGGCCTCTTTGTTGGGACTGGCCGGCTTCGCTTTTTCCGCCACCTGCCGTTGTTCCCGGTCTTCCGAGGCTACTTCCTTTGCCGCTGCAGTCTTCTCCGGGTGTACTTGCTGCTGCTTCTGCTGTTGCTGCTGCTGCTGTTGTTTGGGCGGTGCAGTTGCTCCTTTAGCTTTTTTCCTCACCACCTCCGTCCATTCCGTGCTACCCGTCTTTTTCCCCTCTTCAGCGGGCACCACCGGGGTGGGCACTGGTGCCTGATTTTCTTTGGAGGCCGGCTTCTTGGCTGGACACAACTTAGCCAGATGTCCTGCCTTTCCACAAACCCAACAACAGGGCCGCCGACCCTCGACAACGACAAAAATTCTCCTGTTCTCGCAGAGAATTGTGTTGGGGATGTCCTTGAAGCCTTGGCGGTTCAGTGTCACTATGACTTCCAAGTCACCAGTGGCAATCCCCGCCTTGCTTCTGATTGCCGACACCTCCTCCACAGGCCCATAGTGTGCGAAAAAGCCACCCACTTGGTCTTCCGTGATGTACATGGGCACATCGTGCAACAAAATCCTTGTCTTCCTTGTGCCCATGTTCTCTGCCTGGAGTTTCAACGTTTTTGTTATGAGGGTGCAGCCGGCCAGTGCTTTTGCTGCTTCCTCTGTAGGTAACAAGATGTCCCAGCACGCGTTTGACCTGCGAGCCAGGACCTTTGCCCCAATATTCAAAGTTTTTAGGGCTTCCTCCATGGGTTCCCTATTAACGCCAGTAAACTTTTTGGTCTTAATGTCGACCGTCTGAAATGAAATGGTTCTAGTTGCTACAGTCTCCATGACTGAAGGCACCGGGACGAGCTCATCTTTTTTGATAAAGTCTTTCAACTCGTGTCTCCGATTCTCATAATATTCAGGACCTTTGTCCATTCTCAGGGGCCCCCAAACAGCCGGTGCCGTAGACGTTGTGGCCAAAGGCTCTTTTTGCTGGGTCCCCTCCGCCATAGCGGGCGGGAATTCCCACGCCAAGAAACAGATGCAAACAATAAGCCAAATCGAAAACATTAATGCTACTCCACTTTGTTTTTGTACTGTTAAAACAGCGTCCACTTGCGTCCAACACACACTCTAATCACGCAGAAAAAGAATCTAGTACACAACAAGGGATACCGTATATAATTAGTGAGCGAGTCAAAATGACTTATTTCCCTTTATAGTCTACCAATAGAAGATTAACCAATCAGGAGCCGCAGAACACTGTATCCGTCGTGTATAAAGGAGGCCATCTTTGTTTTCCTACCGGAATAACCAGAGCCAACTTGTCAGGCGAACACGACAGAAGGAAGAACTACACTCTGCTGTGATATCCACTGCGAACCTGCACTAAGCTTTCCTACTGTCTCCGAAATATTCACTGCCAACCTCTGGATTCTATACTCGAATACGACCATCATGAAAATGTCTAACAAGTGTTACATACAAATTTGGAACATATATGAATTTCCAACTGTTTATCGATCCCATGCCATGTCATGTTAACTGTCTTACTTCTGTAGAATTTTGGAATTAACTATCAGGTTGGAATCTCTAATGTTACGACACTCAAATAGTTATAATTGTGATTATGCTTCTTTATCCCCGTTAAGCTTTTGTTGCCATTCTTACTGTGCCTCTTTTTGTCTTATTCAACTCTTAAGCAGAATTAAAAGAAGTAGAACAATGGTTATGTCAGTATGTATTTTTCTTATCGGTACTAAGTGGAAAAAACACAATTTTACCTACACCAACTGTTTTATGTTGAGTAAATTTATGTCGAGCTCTCACATTTCACGATAACTAACAAATCAAAATTTATTTTGTGAAAACCATTCTTATATCTTTGCTCTTTGCCTATATATATATATATATATATATATATATATATATATATATATATATATATATATGCTTTCCACAGAAAATTACACTCGGCTGTATGTCCGGATTTTATAGTGACAGTAAATAATGTATCAGAGATTATGAAAGAAACTACTTAATCGTTTTCCTTGTAGACACTAACTGAATCACATACAGCTTCTGTTGACGTGACACTAACAAATACTCAAATTACTGTCAATCGGAAACGTAAAGTGAAATAACCGGACACACAGGACATGAAAAGGACTTCTACTCAAAGAAGACGAAAAACGAATTGGATTGACAATTTCGTAAGTGAATTTAAAAGCCAGACGGTCCCAGCTCGGGTTCTTTGACAGATTATTTGAAGATAAGACAATCAAAGAAAAATAAATAGCCATTATTTGAAAAAAAAAATGTAACAAAATTCCTTATGAATATATTCACCGCGAACAAATTCACGTTGCTACATCTTTTCTCTCGTGTGACAATAACGTCACACGTACTCGAATTAAGATGGCAAATCCTTACGGCTGTATCCCGTCAAAATACCGGTTCTCCTAAGATCACTGAGGTTAAGCAACATTGAAGCTGGTCAGTACCAAGATGGGTGACCGTTTAGGAATATGTACTGAAAGCTTGGAAATACGGGTGGTGCAATTGATTATGTCTTTGAATTGTTAATTGGATAACGGAGTTCCAATTCCAGTTGGGTTCGTTATATTCCCTTACTTACAATTAACTTTGCGAAACGTATGAATCCACTTGTTCACCCTCCAGTTATGGGTTAAATATTAAATCTTAGATCATTAAATCAGTATTATCTAAAAATATTGGCTAGCATTAAATAACCTGTGAAGTGTTGATAAGCTGTAGAAAATGAATCGAACACTCAAAACGTAATATATCCTCCAATTAAAATACAACGTATATGCAACGTTGTGAATACTTTCTGTGTTAGCTGGGATCATCAGTATCTAGCATATAGTCGTAGGGTCGCTACGCAGCTGAACATATGACACTATATATTTCGATTGAATGCAGGAGAGTAAATTGATGGACTTCTTCCCTCTCTAGATAAAGACAAAGTTGATGTCCTCCAGCTTGGAGGCTTGCTATGATTCCTGAAATGTGGAAGTGAATTAGATAAGCCTCCGCTCTTGACTATTATTTTAATCGTGGAACTCTCAGACCAGTGATGTCGCGAAAACACCACATTGATGATTTCGTAGCTATGGAACTCAATCTCCCCCTTTCTGCTACTAAAATGTTCATCCATTTTTTGAAAGTTTTTGGACTTTATCCTGTTGCATGGTTAACCAAGCTTGCCACAAGAAACGACTGGTCGTAGAGTAGGTTTAGTCAACGATGACCTGATCATGCGACAGTTAGTAATGGGTTACACGGTAGGAGTAGCACTCTTAAAATGAAATGCTATAACCTGATATAAAGACTCTCAAATGCAAATAATTCTGCCATTTTCTGGAGTAAAAATAACTATATTCTGTTCAGTTAGGCACTAAATGTCACATGTCTGTACAATTTGCAGAAGTTAATAATGCAATCATTGATAATTTATGATTTCGTTTTAAATTGAAAAATGTTTTACAAAGTTTTCTTTCAATTCTTTTAGTTGCCTTGTAGTAGTGTTTTTGTTACATTAAGCAGCATAAAATTTACATTTTGCGGACTATTGTCCTCATCTTTGCCGCCATATATATCACAGCGTTTCGACCGGTGTACACTCCGGCCTTCTTCAGGTAGTTGGAATCTCGAACTTAACCCTTTATTTCGGTCACTGGGGTAGATTTTTCTAGTTCCACGTGCCATGTTTAATGGATGTCAGGTATCAGTTATCTTCTGTTAAACATAAGGCAGGCTGGCTGTTTTCTGTGTGTTTTTGTTCTCCTCTTGTACCCGCCTATCCAAGTTTTGGGGGGCTTGAAGCTTTGAAGTGTTTATCAGAGAAGATACAACGGATCTGCGGTCCATATAACATCAGGACAATCTTCAAAAGCTGGACGATACTTAGTAGGTACATCTCCCGAGAAAGGACCTCCTCCCATAGAGGAGAATATGACTAAAGACTGTGGGTACGCTATCCTGTGCAGCTTCGGAAAGAAATATAAAGAGTAGACATGCCGCCCCGTTGAGGTAAGGCATCAAGAACACCAGCAAGCTGTAACACGAGGGGAAATGGAAAAATCAGACGTGGCTGACCACATATGGAGAGAGAACGGAAATCGACGCCCTCTGTGAGATCAGGTTGAGATCATTTACAAAGGACACCAGTGGAAAATTCGTAAACTTAAGGAATAAACACATATGCTAGGCCACAAAAATCTGAACCGACCAAGCATAGAAATGAATACAATATTGGTACCAGTAATAAGGAGTGCCAGAGAAAAACGATAACAACAACAAAAATTGCAATATGAGCTCTGGTAAAAACATGTAATGATAACAGAAAAAATTGCAATATGAGCACTGGTAAAAATTGTTGCTGAAGATATTAGATCTATAATACCCTGTAATTCATACACAGATGTCCTTACGGACACATGGCACAGTGGTTAAAGTCGTTAGTTAGATCCAGTGACAGGACCCAAAGAGTGTGAGTTCAAAAACGCGGTTAAAGCAGTGGAGAACTTGGAGAGGGGAATTAACAGGAGATAACTGGTATCCGAGATCCATTAAACATGGTATGTGTACCCCAGTGAGCAAAATAAAGAGTTCAATTCGACATTTCAACCACCTGAAGAACGCCGGAGTGTACAACGGCCGAAACGTTGTGAAAAATATGACAACAAAGATGAGGACAATAGTACGAATAATGTGAATATTGTAGATAATTCCTGATCTCAGATATATAGATATTTTTGCGTTATTTTATGTAAGGCTATTTATTTTTTTCCTTATTTTTTTTTTTGTATATAATCATTTTCTTTATTGTGAGATAGTAATCGAAATTCTTCTTAGAAAGGCGTAAAAATCTTCCTTTGCTTGAGGTGTAATAAAATAACTAGGATTAGTCAGAGGAAAAGGAAGGAATGAAGTCTTTGATCTTATCTTTTTATGTCCTCTCTATCATTTTAATCTTTTCTCCATATTTGTGTATTGTGTTTGACATATGCGCGCGCACACACACACACGCTATATATATATATATATATATATATATATATAAACCCGGCTGAATTGGCGTCAATTGGCGAATCTATCCCTACAGTGTTGGCGCAAGGCAGAGATGAAGGTGAATGCAAGCGTATTTATTTTTAGATAAACACGCCAGTAACAGTAATCGTCACGGTTAAGAAACTCACACTTCTCCCCCAGAGAGCTCAATTGAAATAAGTTTTGAGGAGGTTAAATATTGTCATCTATAAACTGTTTCGCTGTGCCTAGACGTCCAGTTGGCTCTCGCTAGGATCAAAATCCGGCTGAATTGGCGTCAGTCGGAGAATCTACCCCTAGTTTTTGAAGGTCATATGTGATATATATATATATATATATATATATATATATATATATATATATATATATATATATATATATATATATATCACATATATATATATATCATATGTGAAGGTCATATGTGATTTATATATATATATATCACATCATAACCTTCACATATATATATATATATTGTGATATATACATTATATCCCAGTATAACCATAATATATATATATATATATATGTGTGTGTGTGTGTTAGAATAAATTCACTGGTTTATGCTGGAACGTAATGTATCATCAACAATATAATCACATTAAGTGTTTATTGAAATTTTCAGATCGAAAATTTACAAGGCATATATATATATATATATATATATATGAGAGAGAGAATGGCTTGTTAGTGGAACTAAGCAGTAACCACACCACCTCAGACACACATCCATATTAAATGCCAGGGTGTTTTTCATTCGGTGCAAGAGAAATGTTGATTCAAGTAAATCTTCATTTATTTTCGACAGTAGTTGGCCTAGATAGTGAAAGTTTCTCAGCACTCGATAGTCTCACAAGATAAATATTTCTCATTGGACAGTATTCATTTAAATCATCAAAACTGCATTTCAATTCTCTCCTTGTTTTTACTGTTGTGATAATCTTTAGAAAACATCTAAGTTTATTGTTGGAAATCACCCTTTCATTTGCGTCAAT